AGTTCATTCTTTTGCAGAGTTTCTCAGTAGCGTTGTCTAAGGATGGCGTGGGCTATCTCCGGAGACACCAGCAAAATATACACCACTATATATGGTGCTCAAAATGAGAAGGAAACTCATTTGAGAAGATTCTGTGGAGCAGCCTCAAACTTGACTGAGCATCAGAATCACCTGGCAGGCTTGCTAAAACACAGATTGATTGACCCCACCCCCAGAGTTCCTAATTAAGCAGGTCTGGGGGTAGGGCCAAGAGGCTCCCAGGTGATGCCGATAATATACATATAGGGGCAATGATAGAGGATATTCAATATCAAATAGAGGTTATCTTTAAGTTCTTGGCCACCTCTGGAATGGTATGCTCCTATAAACTTTTGAGGACAATATTACTGAAATTTGGGTTTTCTTCTGAAACTTCTTCCTACACCAGCCTTCCCCATTCCAGTAAACGGCTGTTCACCCAGTTACTTAAGGAAGAAACCTTGACATTGCCCTCAACTTCCCCCTCTTCTTCCACCCATCCCACACAGTCCATGAACTCTAGAGATCTCCCCGCCAAGCCATGTCCCAAACCCACTTCTTTGTCTCCACTATCAACTACTTAGTCCAGGCATTCAGTGGATTGTTAATGGGAACCTATCTCCCCATGCACTGCCTCTAACTGTGGTCATGTGCTTACAGCTCCCATCTTAATTGATTTCACCAGGACAGTCTGATTACCAAGGGCAAGAGAAGATAAGTGGGTCATAGCCAATTCTTTCCCACCGTGAGCAAATAGCTTGGAGCACCATGATTCTGGTACACAAAGGACAAAAACTATATCATCATCATCATCTATCCTTAGGGTCAGCACACTTGTCTGCAAAGGACCGGACAGTAAATATTTTAGGCTTTGCAGGCTGTATGGTCTGTCATGCTATTGAACCCTGCTGTTGTAGCACAGAAGCAACCAGCAAACAAATGGGCCTGGCTGTGTTCCAATAAGACTTTATTGACAAAAACAAGTGGTGGGCCAGATATGGCTCACCCACAGGCCTTAGTTTGCCAGCTCCTGTCCTGGACTATCACTAAATCTCCTCTGGGACCCCCTGCTTCCTGCCTTCACCCTTCTCCTATCCCTTCCCTACAAAGCAGGCAGAATGATCTTTCAAACTGTAAACTGGATTACATGACTCTCCTGCATAAAGTCACCCAATGGCTCTAAAATGGCTTTTAGCCCTAGAATAAAATCCAATGCCCTCTGTGGCCCCTGCCTGCTTTTCCAGCCCCTTCTTGAGACATTCCCCATCTCCTTCACTAGATTCCAGCTGCACTAGCTTTCTTTCCAGTTTCCTGGACACTCCAAGCTCTTTCCTGCAAGCATGGCTTTGCACGGTTCTTCTCTCTGCCTGGATTGGTTTTTACTTCACTTTCTGTACGGCTAGTTATTCTTATTCTTCACATCTCCTCTTTAGAGGGGTCTTCCATTCAGAAACTCTGCCCTCTTCCCCTTCCCCAGTAATGTCTAGACAAACACCATGTTTGTTTCCCCATCACTTTCATCACTTAACCAATCATGTGACTCGCCTGTCACGCACTCAGGCGTGTACTCTCCAGGAGGGCAGGAACTACATCTGCTCCGTTCACCACTGTGCATCAGCACCTGGCATACAGTAGGTACTTCCTGTCACTGGAGGATTGAGTGAGTGGGATGTAAGGGATTCATTCCTGGAAGCAAGAGGATACTTCTCATACTAGGAAGTGTTCGGTAACACTGCTATGTGCTAAGTCTTATCCTGAGACTGGCAAGAGAGCTAGGAGCTGTTGAAGATGTTGTGTCTGTACCCAGGAAGACTGACTCCATATGAATGGTGTAAACTGTGGGCAGTAAGAATCCTGGGAAGGAAAAGTCAGGGAAATATGGGCTATAGCATGACACTGGGGCTGGGGTCCTGGGAACAGGTCTTTCCTTGACACGAGGACACACCTACTGATGTTGTAATTGCACCTTCCAAAGACTGAGTATACCTCCCCAGTGGAATGTCCCAAAGTTCTTAGGGTGTTTGGCAGGAGCTATAAATGTTCCAAGTGTGAAGTCGCTACTGGGACACATAGCCACACTTCTATTGTTTTTTTTCAACGATAACACAAAAATCAGATTTTTTTTTGTCAGGATAAAAAAAAAAAAAACCCTCAAGGTTAAACCCTGAACATCATCACTGCCGGGTCACATTGTACACTTCCCTCTTGCTCCCACCACAGGCCTGCTTTTCCTTGGATGCTTCTGGCCATGGGAACCTAAGACAGCTTCCCTGTGGAAGTGGATATTGAATTTGCCGATGGAGGAGATGGGGGCAGGCATATCAACTAGGAAATAGAACGACCTTTTTCATCAGAAATCCCCAACTGGGGAATGATGAGCCCTGGGACTCAAGGCCTGACTGAAAAACAGTATAAACACTTTATAGTGCTTTCATGCACTGATTAGCACATTTGAATCCCCATCTCCCTTGAGATTTGAATCTCAGGTTCCCAGGAGACGAGCTTGAGTACCTGGGCTGAGAAAAGGGGCCAAGGGCAGTGCCATATTGGAGAGCAATGCTCAAGGCCCAAGGATAGAGAGAGGAGCTCACATAGGCGAATGAAAAGGGCATCTGGAGAAGCTGGTGCAGAACTAGCCTAGTGTTTTAAGGAGAGGGTGGTTTGTTGGGTTAAATCCTACAGAGGTCAAGTGAGATAAGTGTGGAAACAGAGCTACTGGAGGTTACTGGTGAATTTGGGGACAGCAAAATCGTCACTGGATGGGGAGTTGGGGGAGAAAGCCAGAAGTGTGGTGGCAACTCAGGAGGCAGAGACAGTGTCTCTGACTGTAATCACCCTATTTTTCTATGATGTGTCCCTGCTTCTGCAAGGAGCCTTGGATGGGCCATATGGAGTTTTGGTTCTCGTCCTGCTTGTGCTCCTGGCTGGGCTGATGGTGTTAAATTTCCAAGGTCTCTTCCAGTGTCTATGCTCCACTGTTCTGGGGAGGCTGGGAGTGAACGGAGTCGTGCAGATGAACATCTTGTGGAATGGTGCAGAGCAAGGACAAACTTTGCTGTCCACAGGAGGCAGTGTGCTGTCACTTCAGGATGGTGAAGGGGCCATCTGGAATGAACGGTCTAGCACCCAGGACTAATAGGGCAGGTGGTAGGATAGGAAAGGTACTCTATTCCACCAAGCCCCAGAGTGATTTCAGGTGGCAGGACAGGTGGCAGGTGGCAAGGGCCACCTATCCAGAGAAGCACCAGGTGTGCAAGAAGATATGCTCTCCAAGACAACCTGCACTGTAGGAGGTGAGACTCATCAGGAGTGTCTGAGTTAACTCACAGGTCAGACAAGTCAGGAAGGAGACTGAGAACCAAGTGGGAGATCATAGTCGAGGGTTTCAGTTCTGTGGAGTGAGAAGGTGTGGAATCAGATGGGGCAGTGAGAGGCAGCAGTAAGGAAGGGGGGCAGAAAGAAGGCCAGACTTGCTCTGCCCATCTAGACCTCCAAGAGTGGTCCAACCAGGCCAGTCCCTTTTGGGCAGTCCAACGTACTAACATCTCAGCTTACAGAACAGATGGATGAAGGGCTGGTCTAAAACTGGGATATTACATGCCCCATATTACATTTTTATTGTCCATGATTTCCTAAGACCTCTTCAGTTCTAGCAAATGAAAACCCACCTGCGGTCTTGGAACCTCGGTCATTCCTGACCAGCTGATGGGCATCCATAGGATTCCTGGTCAAAGAAGACACAGATGGAGGAGATGGAACTCTATTTTTTTTTCAAGATTTTATTTATTTATTTGACAGAGAGAGACACAGCAAGAGAGGGAACACAAGCAGGGGGAGTGGGAGAGGGAGAAGGAGACCTCCTGCAGAGCAGGGAGCCTGATGTGGGGCTTGATCCCAGGACCCTGGGACCATGACCCGAGCCGAAGGCTGACGCTCAACGACTGAGCCACCCAGGAGATGGAACTCTAAACTGCAAGCCATTTAGAAGAAACTTCTTGGAGAAGTTTCTTCTTTTAGTCAGAGGCTAAAAATCATGTTCTGTATTTAGTGACAACAACAGAGAATCCTTGCAGGGCTTCTGTAGTGAAGGGAAATTTGATGGCACCTGGATGTCAGAGATTTTTGCTATTATCTGCCAGCATATAAACTTTTTGAAGCCAGTTGCCATCACGTATAACAATATTTAAATTAATGTGGGTAGATCTAGAAGTTATAGACATAGCCATTTCTCTTTGAATTAGTCTCTATCCTTTTATAAATAAAGATATATTAGCCTCATAACTTTGGGAGATACCTTATCTTAAGACAATGTTTATTCACAAGTACTGCTACATTGGTGGATACAGCAGTACTTTTGTTTATAAAAGGACTTATAAAAGGATTAGTCATGGTAGTGGATGACTCACTCTGTCCCAAGATCTCTCCAACAGTGTGGTTCCTTATTGCACTCAAAAATCCCCTTTAATGCCCCACTCAAGTGTTGCTTCCTCAACCAGTCTTGTTCTCTGCTTTCCCTATCACTGTCAGAATAAATCATAGCCCTCTCTGTGAATCCCCACATTCTGCCCTGTGTTAGAGAAAATTGCTTGCGTTATTGTCTTCTCTGTGAGGCCAGAAGTTCCTTGAAGTCAGGGACTTTGTTGTGTTCCCCAATGTTAAACTTCCTTGAACATACCAAATGCTCAATACATATTTAATCAACAAACGAACGATTGAAAGAATGAAGGTTCGGTTGTCTAGACATTGGCACTTCCAACCCATGAGCTCACACAGGGAAGCACACTAGGCCCCAGGCACAAATGCCCTAGGGAGGATCTCTTGGTTAAAATCCACTTTAAATTTCTGTCTCCTTTTTAATAGAGGAACTGCAAGATTTACCATGCTGAATTGAATGAGGTCAAGATGCATGCAGTTAGAGAAACATTTCCCTTAGATTGTCAAGGAAGGGGGATCCTGGTTTTCAGAAGCCCAGAAAGGGGAGGTCTTCTTTTGGTCTCTGAAAGATGCTTCTAGAAGCTTTGGCTTTGCTTATCTGGAGCCCTGGACCTCGTTGAAATAAGTTGGTGGCAAGTTCACTGGTTCTGGGATGACCCCTGGATTTGCCACACAGATATTCGGGAGGACCACACCCACCTGGAAAACACGGGTGCACAGGAGGGGCACTAGTAAGGGTGCAAGAAGGACCAAGCAGGCACGGAGGCCTTTACACCCTGCGAGACTGCTCCTGCCCCTGGGCAGGAAGGGGAAGCATGGAGATCTCTTTAGTCTCCACCTTCTTTGGGGAATCTTCCCACCCACCGAGGAGCCTCTGGACTCACGTAGTTGTGCTGACAGCAGACCAGTTGGCAGCCAAAGTGGGAAGATGCACATGCTACGCAGAACTCCAGGAGGCAGAAGATGAGCAGCACACCAGAAATAGCCATGCCAGGGGTCTGGAACCAGAGCGAGTAGGACGTCAGGAGTGCTGGTCCAGGCGTCCGAGGTCTGGCTCCAAGTGTGGCTCTGCAGTGGACTGTCTGTGGCTTTGAGGAAGTCCCCCAACCTCGTCTCACCAGGTTTTTGTGAGGGTCAAGTATGTTTGTAAAAGAATCGTTACTTGAACACTTACTACTGGTACTACTACTTCCTCCGCTAAGGGGAAGGGTAGTCATCCTTTAGGAAAACACCTCGATCATGTGACTGGGAAGGAGAGGATGGGCCAGATGGAGGGACTGAATCTATAAGGACTTGTCTGTACCTGTGCTCACTTGTCAGTCCCAGAGTCACGAGTCTCATGTGGCTGTTGGGCATTTGGGAAGTGGTTAGTTCCAACGTGAGATGTGCATGATACACACCAGATTTCAAAGACTGAGTCCCCAAAATGCAAAATATCAAATTGATAATTTTTTACACAGATTACATGTTGAAATGACATTTTGGATATATTGGGTTAAATAAAATATTAAAATTAATTTCACTTGTTTCTTTTTCTTCTTTTTTTTTTAAGGTGGTGACTAGAAAATTTAAAATCAGACATGCAACTTACGTTATATTTCTATTGGTCAGCACAGGTTGGTACGTTACGGTCCATGGGCCAAATCCTGGCTGCTGCTTATTTTTGTAAGTAAAGCTTTATCAGAACACAGCCATGCTCACTGCTTATGTATTTTCTATGGCTGCTTTCCCACTATAGGATAGGGTTGAGTAGTTGCAACAGAAACCAGAGGGCCTGCAAAGCCTTAAATATTTATTCTCTGGCCCTTTGCAGAAAACTTTTGCTGACCCCTTGTCCATAGTCATGGGCAGGAAGGTGAGAATGTGAGCAGGGGTGCAGTTGGAGGCACATGTGCGTTAAAATTGCATTTAATTCTGCGAATAATGTTATAAGGTAGGTACAGTTTTATAAAGGTAGAAACTAAGACTAAGAAAAGTCATGTGCTTAAAGTAACACAGCAGTAAAGCTATAGGTCAGGGGCTTTACACACTGTTCTGATTCTTTTCTACAGTGCTGGGTGAAGAAGCTTGGTTTTGGGCCTTCTAACAATTTGGTAAACCTAGCTAAATCAGAACTCAGAGGAACGTTGGTTCAGAGGGGTACTCACCACACCCCAGGTGGCATAGTGGGAATAAGAGAGAGAGTAGGCATAGGTGGGGGCGAGACTCATATCCATGATGAAGAGTATGATTCCAACCACAGAACAGATTGCACTGACGGTGTTCAAGCCCAAGCTGCCATTCAGCTGAAGAAGACACAGAAGGTCAGGGTGGGAGAGGAAAATTACTGTGGCTGAGATGAACAGAGATTAAACAAGTGCTTCTTAATGTGAATCTCTAGAACCTTAGTTCTATAGCAAGGAAAGAGATGTTCTGTGCAAAAAAGTGTGTGAGTAAATTAACTTTGAAAAAAGCTGGGCTGAACAAAGTTAAATAGGTCTTTGCTGTAAGACTTGTAAGAGCCTTGGGGCACCTGGGTGGCTCAGTTGTTAAGCGTCTGCCTTCGGCTCAGGTCATGATCCCAGGGTCCTGGGATCAAGCCCCACATCGGGCTCCCTGCTCTGAGGGAAGCCTACTTCTCCCTCTCTCACTCCCCCTGCTTGTGTTCCCTCTCTCGCTGTGTCTCTCTCTGTCAAATAAATAAATAAAATCTTAAAAAAAAAAACTTGCCAGAGCCTTTAACAAGGATTATGGATCTTCCAGAGAGGGGACTACTAAATAGAGGTTTCCCCAAGTTTAGCTACTCATCTTCACAGAGTATCTCATGGGACAAGTGTCCCTAGGACAAATCTTTGGGAAACACTCAACCTGCTTATCCCGTATGAGATAGGTAGGAAGCTCAGCCCCTGCGTCTTGGCATATGACAGGCTCTGATCCTCCATGATTCTGGGCCATGTGCAGAAAGACATGCCCAGAATTTTGAGCTTTCCTTTGGAGATTTTCAAATAGGTTTCATCTGGCATAGGGACCTGGCCATCCTGAGGTCCTTCACCCTAGACAACATGCTTGTGAAAGAAAAAAAGGTACTTTCTTGGTCTATTGCTAGGGGACCTTGTTCATGTGATTAGCAGAGCTCACCTGGCTGGATTCCTTAGGGAAGCAGGTGGTTGAGCTTCCCCTGACTTCCCTGCAGAAATGGCTGGAGGCCTGCTCTGTGTGCCACAGGTACTGTCAGTGCCTGCTCGGCTGGAGTGGAGCCTGAGCCCCCAGGAGATTTGTGTCTCCTCCTGTAGGCACCTCTTAGGGACACTGTTCTGTCTCTGCCTTAATTCAGGTGGCTGTGTTGTCCTTCCCTCCCCAGAATCTTCTGGACTCCTTCCTACCCTGACTCTGGCCAGGTTCACGTGGTCCTGCATGTGAGTATGAGTGAGCACGTGTGTCAGTGCCCTGCATCTGGTTAGATGTAAGTGCAAGGATGAGGGAGGGATTGTGTGTTAACCTTCTTTTCCCCAGAGTGTGTCTCCTATAGGTCTCTGCTGGGAGAGCCTGTGTCAGGAGGTGACTTACCAGGCAAGAAGATTTCGGCTGATTTTCTGCTGACACTGAGAGGGATCCTGAAACAATGAACTGGCACAGAAGAGAGGAGGTTTAGAAAAAGGCCCCAGGTTAGGGTTCCGTCTTCCAGCTTCCAGGATTCTGGTCACACACATTCTCTCATACACACTAGGTTCCTGTGCTGGGGCTTCCAAGTCAACATGGAAGGAAGGGAGGAAGGAAGGGAGGGAGGGAGGAAGGAAGGGAGGGAGGGAGGAAGGAAGGGAGGGAGGGAGGAAGAAAGGGAGGTAGGGAGGAGAGAAGGGAGGGAAGGAGGCAAGGAGGGAAGGAGGGAAAGGAGGGTAGGGAGAAGGGGCAAGGGGAGGGAGAAGTAGACTCCCCGCTGAGCAGGGAGCCCAATGCAGGGCTGGGATCCCAGGACGCTGAGATCATGACCTGGGCTGAAGGCAGACGCTTAACCGACTGACCAACCCAGGTACCCCCAGACCCTGTGTTCTTAACCCTTACCCTACATACCCTCCCACTCAGGGTAGATGCATGTGCCATGGGGTGGAAATGGTTTTATAATGAAAAGTTACTCTAGCTTCCTATGCCTTTTAAAGGGAATGGTATTTTTTCCCTAAATGTGGAAAAATAAATCTCATCCTTATACCCTTCTGTTTATAGAGACTTGATGCAGAGGGAAGGGAACAAGAGGCTGGCCATCTGAGGTCCCTTCAGGTCCTTTTAAGGTGCCAAAGGATATGGGCCTTTTTTTTTGGAAAAGGACATTAATGATCTTTAGGAAATACATAGTCCCGGAGTCAAAAAGGCAACCAAGAACCAAATTGCCCTGCAGATATAAAAGGGGGGGGGGATGGTCATGAGAGCTGATCAACCTGGCAGAAGGGAAGATGCCAGGGAAATTTCCAGGCACTTAAAAGTACTCACTAGCATCCAATGCTCAATAGCAAGCCCTTCTGTGGCCATGGTGTTAGCCACTCCATTGCCCCAAACTCCATTAAAATGGGTTATACAAATGCAGGGCTGGGGGAGAGAAATAGGGGCTGAGTTCCAAGTCTGAGTCCCTGCAAAGCAGAGAAAGGACCATAGCCTCAGTAAATGAGACCCAGAAGGAAACAAGAAAGAGTAGGTACTCAGAGAAAGATTCTCCAAAGAACATAAGCCTGCCATTTTGCAGGTGTTGTGTGGGTATGAGGGTGGGGGATAACACTAGGTGATTTTATTTAAATGTCATGGGATAAGGGGGGGGACTTTGATTATCTAGGTTACTCTGGAGTTTTGCTATTTGTGAGAAAAGTTGCATTTGGAATCATAGATAGGTGTGTGAGTCCAGAGACAAAGACTGTAACAGCAGAGAGAAAAAGGACGTGGGAGGGAGGACAGAGAGAAGGAAGGAGTGTGTGTGTGTGTGTGTGTGTGTGTGTGTGTGTGTGTGTGTGTGTG